ACTGTCTTCTTTACAAGGTAGTTGAAGTAATATCAGGGAGAAGGGGGGGGGGAAATAGTGTAAAAAAATAAGACATCTATAAAATCAGATTTTTTAAGTTAAAAACTAAAAATTAAAACCCAGGTAAAACTCTATCTACAGCATTCTCCTAATCTATCAGTCTAGTAACCCCATCAAAGAAGGAAATGAGGTTAGTCTGGCATGACTTGTTCTTTGTGATCACTTCTTTTTTTCAGAATTCACTAAACATGCCTTTAATAATACATTCTAGAATTCTACCAGGAATTGAAGTCAAGCTCACTGACCTATGTACAAACCCCACTGTTCTGTGTTTACTCTGTAATCTAGCTCCCAAGCAGTAAAGGAAAAAACAATCAATAAGCATTTATGAGGCACCTACTATGTGGTAGGTACTGTACTAGGCAATGGGGACAGAACTGCAGAACTCAAACAGGTCCTGCCCTCAAGAAGCTAACATCCTACTAATCAACTAATAAGCATTTATTAAGCACCTACTATGTGTCAGGCTCTGTGCTAGGTGCGCTCTAGGAATGCAAATACAAGGGTGAGGTAGTTTGCCTCAGAATCATGGTGACTTCTAGGTATCCTACACTTTTACTCTTTCTGCTTTGTTTTTTCATTAAGACTCTCCTGGTCCCTGACTACTCACCTGACTATAGGACCTTTTTAATTACTTGCTTTGCCTTGCCCTTCGGCAGTTACATTCTGTTTTTGTTTGTTTTTGTCAGCCTGATTTCAATTCATGGCCCTAGGGAAAGTGCCTGAGCTTCCTATTCAACAACTCCAAGTTCAAAAGTCCTGGAATCTAGCCTTCTAACCAAAGAAGATAGATTCCTTAGGCAACATGATCTCAAAATTGAGCTTTTGACAAGAAAATTAATTTCCTGAGTAGTCTTGGACATAGCCTCTCAATTCACCCCAAATAGAGTAGTTCTGGGTTTCAGTCTCCCAAGGTATAAAATGAGATTGGGAAAAATTACCTCTAAGATCCCATCCAGCTTTAAACCTATGATCCTATGTCCCATCTGTTCTCTGAATCTTTCCCCAAAATACTAACCTATCCTGATTTCTCTATTTTGCATTTATCCTTCTGCCAGAAAACTAAGGCCTTTATGTCCTAAATTATCCCTAGGTCAACAGATCTGTGATCTCTCTGATGTAGGTATCATCTTCATTGGGACAGATTTACAATCCACCCATACCTAACTTGTATAATTCTTGCCTGTGTTCTCCCATAGTTCCTCTATCATCCTAGAGGCCTTCCTCTAGGCATCTGCTACATCTGTAGCAGTGCTACACTTTAGCTATCTATCTATCATCACTCACTACCTTCATTTCTGATCACACTTTACTAAACTAGTATTTAATGTTCTCTTAGAGAGGCAATGTGGGGTAGTGGATAGAACTGGCCATGATCAAGAAGTCCCAAGTTCAAGTTCCACCTCTGACACATACTTCATAATGGCGGGAAAGTCTCAATCCCTCAGGCAACTCTCTAAAATAATGTTATAAAGGTTCCCATCTGGATTGGTCAGAAAAATGCCTCACCAATTTCGGAAAAACCAGGAAAGACTAATATGAATTGATGCAAAGTGAAGTGAGCAGAACCAAGAGAACATTGTACACAGTAACAGCAACATTGTGAAATGATCAACTATGATTGGCTTAGCTCTCCTCAGCAATACAATGATCCAAGATGATTCCAAGAGACTCATGATGGAAAATGCTATCCACATCCAGGGAAAGAACTGATGGAGTCTGAATGCAGATTGAAACATACTATTTTTACCAAACAAGAGAAAGAGAACATTATGAGATACAAAGTGGATGATTTTGATTACATTAAATTGAAAAGTTTTTGCACAAAGCCAATGCAACCAAGATTAGGAGGGAAGCAGAAAACTGGGAATTTTTACAACCAGTGTCTCTGGTAAGGGCTTCATTTCTAAAACATATAGAGAACTAAGTCAAATTTATAAGAATACAAGTCATTCCCCAATTGATAAATGGTCAAAGGATATGAACAGGCAGTTTTCAGAGGAAGAAATTAAAGCTATCTATAGTTATATGTAAACATTCTCTAAGTCACTATTGATTAGAGAAATGCAAATCAAAACAGCTGAGGTACCACATCACACCTATCAGATTGGCTAACATGACAAAACAGGAAAACAATAAATGTTGGAGAAGATGTGGGAAAATTGGAACACTAATGCATTGGTGGTGACATTGTGAAATGATACCATTTTGGAGCGTAATTTGGAACTATGCCCAAAGGGCTATAAAAATGTGCACACCCTTAGACCCAGCAATACCCTTCTAGGGCTGTATCCCAAAGAGATCATAAAAAATGGGAAAAGGACCTACATGTACAAAAATACTTATAGCACCTCTTTTTGTGGTGGCAAAGAATAGGAAATAGAGGAGATGTCCATCAATTGGGGAATGGCTGAACAAGCTATAGTATATGAATGTAATAGAATACTATTGTGCTATAAGAAATGATGAGCAGGTGGACTTCAGAAAAACCTGGAAAGACTTGTATGAACTGATGCTAGGTGAAGTGAGCAGAACCAAGAGAACATTGTACCCACATTGTGAGATTACTAACTTTGACAGACTTAGCTCTTCTCAGCAATGCAAGGATCTAAGACATCTCCAAAAGTCTCATGATGGAAAATGCTATCCACATCCAGAGAAAGAACTATGGAGTTGGAATCGAAGCATACTATTTGCTCTTTTTTCTTCTGTTTTGTTTTGTTTCCTCTTTCTTGTGGATCCTCCTATTGGTTCTAATTCTTCCTTACAACACGACTAATGTGAAAATATGTTTAATAGAAATGTATATGTAGAGCCTATATTAGATTGCATGTCATCTTGGGGAGGGAGGTGGGAAGGGATGGGAAGAAAAATTTAAAACTCAAAAACTTATGGAAGTGATTGTTGAAAACTAAAAATAAATTAATAAAAAAGACTCAGAAAAAAAAAACATACTATTTTTACTTTATTTTTTTTTTCGTGGTTCTTTTCTTTTGGCCAGTTTTTTCTTTCACAATGTGACTACTATGGAAATGTTTTACATGACTATACACACATAACCTTGCTTACCATTTTAGGGAGGGAGAAAAGCAGAGAGAAAACTTTGGAACTCAAAATTTTTCTTTCTCTTTTTTGTGATGCAATTGGGGTTAAATGGCTTGCCCAGAGTCACAGGGCCAGTGACTGTTAGGTACCTGAGGTTGGATTTGAACTCGTCCACTGACTCAAGTCAGTGCTCTATCCACTGCGCCACCTAGCTGCCCCCTTCAAAATTTTTCTTAAAATGTTAAAAATTATCTTTACATGTAATTGGAAAAAATAAAATACTATTTATCAAAAATGCTAAAAAAAAAATGCCTCACCAGGAACTCCGTACCTTTAATGACACATCCAATCCACCACCAAAAAAAAAAAAATCACTTATTTGTTCTTATGTTATTTTCTCTGTAGGCAGTGGTTGCGTCTTAACATTTATCTTGCTTACAGTCTAGCTTCAACTTACTTTTCTAGGTTTATTACACATCATTCCTTTTCAATCACTCTATGGCCCAGCCAAACTGGCTTACTTGGTACATACATGTTCTACCTCCTGCCCTCCCCTCATCCTGGAGTGCATTGCATCCTCATCTCTCCCTCCTCGAATTCCTAACTCCCTTCACAGCTCAGCCGAAGCACCACCTCCTAAGAGGCCTGTCCTGATGTCCCTACTTATAAGTGTTCTCCCTGATAGGATTATTTTCTATTTCCTTTTTGTATACATCATTTCCTAATAGAATGTAAGCTTTAAAATAAAAATGTAAGCTGACAGCAGGTTTTTTTTTCTTTGCTGCACCCCCATCACTTAGCATAATAGCTGATGCTTAATTGTCAAAACCCCCACAGAACTGGATAGAGGGCTGATAGTTAATGTGTACCTGTTAAATGACTGCTTTGGTCCTTCTTATTGCCCTAACTTTGCACTTCAAGGAGACTTGATTCTTGGCCTGCCGTTCATGGGTGCTCAGTGCTACTGGGGTATAAAGATGAATATGGCAAGGTCCCTGCCTTCAGTGCCAGGGGGTAACTATTCTATTCCCCTTGATTTTTGCCAACAGTGGGCAAGTGTGTTACGAATGAGCAGCATGACTCCATCACCCCTTCTGCTGGTATCAATACAGCAAGGATTGCCCCTGAACTGTCAGCTCCTTTACAGCAGCCCCTATCTGCTCTAACTCAGTACTACTAGTCACTTAGCTGTTTGTCCATAGGCAAATCACACAGCCTCTGGCTCAGTTTGGTCACTTGTAAAAAGGAATTAAGCTAGATGACCTATGCACTAGCAATCCTAAATCTGGGCTCCCAGCTCTTTGTTTTAGAGAGGGAGAGGCCTCCATAGCTCTCCTATCAGACTTCCCAAGGGTGGGATAGTCAATCATCCAGCTAAGTAAAATTCACCCAGAAGTGTACACAAGGAAGTGGGGCAATGGGGAGGAGTTGTGAAAGTTCAGTACCAATTCAAGAAAGGAATGCGTTTGTCAGATAGTCAGTGTGACAACTGGTTTCGTAGCACTCTTTGCTTTGTTGTTTAAAATGGGGGAGGGGGGAAGGCTAACAAGGTAGGGATGAGGGAAGGGCATATTTGAAAATGTTCAGTCGTGTCTGACTCTTCATGACCCCATTCGGAGTTTTCTTGGCAAAGATGCTGGATTGGTTTGCCATTTCCTTCTCCAGCTCATTTTACAGATGAGGAATCTAAGGCAAACAGTATTAAGTGACTTGTCCACGGACACACAGCTAGTAAGTGTCTGAGGCCAGATACTTTAAGCTCAGAAGATAAGTCTTGCTGACTCCAGGCCCAGCTCTCTACCCACTGTGCCACTTAGCTGCCCATATCTGGAAATGTAGATGACAGTCAAAACAATAGGCATCCATAAAACTTAGAAAGAAACACATGCACAATATGTAACTAAAAAGTAATGTGACTGATTTAATAAACATACCAGTACTTACAGCCCCAAATAAGGGACATCTAAGGAAACCACACTTACTCCAGCAATGCAGCCAGTGTGCAGGATGGCTCCGGGACTCTTCTTGCCTTCAGAACCTGCAGCACATTCTCTGAAATATCATCGGGGGTGACAAATCTTTGCCTATTGAGAATGGGTTTGACTTTTGAATGCCTTTTGGCTGGTCCCACAGCCCAGAGAGGAGGTGGGGAGGCATATCATTCATTATGGGATTGAGGAGAAAAAAGTGTGATTACAGCTATGGGTGCAGTTCCGCCCCCCCCCCCAAAAATTGTGTTCTGAGCAACAAAAACCTCAGTGAAATAAGCGCACAAACTCCCAGAGTAGCTTTAAGGAGGTAACAATCATTTGGATGGATATTGGTTTTAGAAATGTGATGTTCACTTCAATTTGTTCCCTGGATGTCAGGTTGTTGGGGAAGATGAAGTCCTCCATTATGTCCAGAAGGTGGCACTAATACTACACATAAGATATTTAGCACTAGAGGGAAAATTCTGCCTGGAGTCTGAAAATAGGAGACAAGCAATAAATCCAGAACTGGCAAGCCAAAGAATGGTGGAACAGCTCCTTCCTTCTTGACGTGAGTAAAAGTTCATACGGATACAGTGTTTTACACAAAGTGCTTTCTTCTCCACAATCCTGTGAGGTAGATAGTTCAAGTATTATTCTCCCGTTTTATGGATGTTAAAAGGTTAGGCTCAAAGAGAAGAGGTCAAATCCAAGCCCAAGCCAGGTCTTCTGACTCCAAGACCTGCACTTTCAATACCACATCACACAGGACTGACCAGAGCTTTGTTTATGTTGTTTGTCTAGGCGGTGTCTCTACCTAAACTGGCCTCCCATCTACTCTGTATCTTGTATCTATTTGGATACGTGTTGGCTCCCTATTAGGATACAAGCTCCAAGGGCAGACGCTTTTCGCTTTTTCTTTGTATCCCCAATGCTTATTTGAATGCCTGGCACATGGTAAGTGCTTAATAAATGCCTGTTGATTCATTGACTAAGGGGAATGTAGATCTAGCTAGATTTGTCACTGGGAGTGGGGGAGGAGGTTCTGGGGGAGGTGAAGATAAAAAGGGAGGAGAGCAAACTAGTTCCAATAGTAAGCGAGATGGTGCCTTGGTAACTGTAACAGGAGGAAAAAGGCCAGTCTCTGTCCTTGGACCTGTTCCTCACCTGTTACATTAGGGGATTGAGCTGGGATCAATCTAGGCCCTAGATCATCTCTAGGGTCCCTTCCAGCTCTCAGATTCTATGATAATTTCACACCTGTCACTAGTTACTGTACAATTCGTACTATTTCCTTTCATAGGTGTCTACAAATGAATAGAGGCATATAAGTTTATTTCAAGCTACCACAGTCTTAGTCTGGGAATTCCCACTGTCTGCATAGGAAGGCTTCTGGAGAATAAAGCCTTTATGCTTTAGAAAACAAGCCTCTTTTCCAGCTCTTGTTCTCAGACCTGGAAGAGCTAAGAGATTCCAGAGGAGGTGTAAACAATGGCTGTTTCCTGTAGGCACTCCCTTGGGTGCAGGGGGTCATCTCTAGTTACTGCTTCCCTCCGTGAACAACCAGGCTGGAGCCAGATAAGTAACTCCTGCCCTTGGACAGAACAGACCAGGCTCACCTGGGATCCTATGATTCTAAGACCTCATCAGAAGTTCCAGGCAAAGGGGTATAACTCTCTGCTTCTGAGGGGATGGGGTCCTGGGATATCCTTGTTCAGGTCTTTCTGTGCTTACAGCAAAGATGTTAGATTATTTTCCTGGGGAAAGTGTACCATGGTACAGTAAGGACCAAGCAAGGGATGAACTTTCCATCTGGTTGTCTCATTTTGTCCAGGAAGTTCAATCCCCTTCCCTTTTCCCCCTTGGGACTAGGCTCAGAATTCAGTGTTGCTATCTTTCTGTGACCCTTTCTCAAATCCTTTCCTAAGGTTTGCATTTTCTTGACAATGGGATGGGAACCCAGAGGAGATCCTGATTTCTGCAGAAGGTAATGGACAGAAGATGTCAATGGGCAGCTGAAAGGCACTTGAGAGGGATAACAGCTAGGGAAATAGATAGAGTAAGAAGCTACTTATTATAGTAAGGAAGAGACAGAGGGGAGCCAGGCCATTCATTTTTACTGAAGTGGGATGTGGGATCACCGACAGGGTAGAAGGGAAGATGGTACACCTAAGCTGCCTAAGGGGTGGGGTGAAGGGCTCCAAGACAGTGGGGCCGATTCCCATACTGGTTCTTCTCACACCACTTCTTCCTTTTGTAAGCCAGCTCTAAGCACTCCTGACATAGGCAGAAAAAGGGTCCACTTGATATCAGAGAAGCAGCTTTGAGAATGAAGGCCTGTTGGGTTCCTGAAGCTTCCCTAACACATACAATCTCCCCCAGTCTGCATCTACATCTCTTACTCTGGTAAGAGACTGGGAAGTCCCCATCAAAGTAATGAGATGAAAGGGAGAAGTGGGAACGCTAATGGAGATGCAGCTAAGATCTCAGAGGTTTCCTACAACCAGGAAAAACAGATCAAGGTACAGTTAGGGTTTTCAAACCTACCAGCCTCAGAAATTCAGACACCTGGGGACTTCCCTATAATGCCAACAACCTCTAGCCACAGTGTGCTCTAAGGCCAGATCATGAGACCAGAGAAGAGAGGTCCCAAGTCCCACATCCTGGATGGGTAGGAGAGAGATGGTTCCATTGTGACTGTAAGACTTATAGAGTCTCACCAACCCCACCAACTCTCTATCCTCCAGAAAGGCAAGATGAAGAAACACCAAGAACACACTTTGACCCCAAACCCATTAGACATAAAAAAAATAGGATCAAGGTGGAAGAACACTGGAGACAGATAAGACCATGCTTCCCAGGACCTATCAAAACCTATCTGGGGATGAACAAATTACAGAAAGGTGCAAGGAATAACTCACCATCCATTGTTAACCTATGACTCTTATCCCTCACCCTCCTCCCATCCAAATCTCAGCCACAAAAACCCACTAGCTTAAAATTTGATTTGTTGGACCTTTACGGGTATATCATATTCTTTTTGGGTAAATGATAGGATTATAGACTACAATGGCTTGAGTAACCTCAAGTGTGGGGCAAGGGTAGGGGATAGATCTCTGTTCAAATGACAAACCTCTATTCAAGTGATATAGCCTTGTCCTAGACAACTTTTGGAGGGAATGGCCTCAAACTCTGACACTGAACACCAAAAGGCAAGAGGAAACTTCCCTTCTTGGTGTATGCTAAGACTGACTTCTAAAAAGCTCAGGTAGGACAGTGGGAAAGGATGAGATGTGCATGAAGAGGACCACAGAGCACCTGGACCCAGCATGTGCTATAGTGGGAGCCAGATACTTACTGAGCCCAGCCTTCTTTCCTTCCAAAGCCTGGCATAGGGAATTCAGAGCCCCTTCCTCTCCTATGAGGAAGCTCCAAGCTCCAATTCTTCCTAGTAAGGTTGCAAAGGAAGCAACTCGCCCACCTACCATCCCTCCCTTATTTTCCCCAGCCCACCCCAGCCCAGGACACCAGGCCGAGGACATCTTCCACATTCCAGAGAAGCAGGGGCCTGTTCCTTTAAGGAGGGAGGATCCAGTGTTGTGAAGAGCGCTTGCTGTCCAGGATTGCCTTCCAGTCATCGGTCCATGAATGGAGCCTCCTGTGAGGTGGCTGCAGCTGGAGGTGTCTGTTGTGGCAGGAGGTGAAGAGGATGTGCTCCCAGCTGGGGTTTGGCTCGGCCCCTGCAGATTGGGGGGAGGAAAAAGGAGTTTTGTGAGGGGCCCCAGGGCTGTGTTCAAGGATCCTATTGGTAGTTTGGCAATTTGATAGCCATCCCATCTCCCAACACACACCACAGCCAGCTCACTGATCTTTCCCTTCTATGAACACCAAGTAATAGTCTGTAGCACTCAATTATATACAGCTGTTTACTGCTCTCTTGTTTGTAGAAGCTTAGAATATCAGAGCTGGATTCCCTCTAGGAATCATCTAGGTCAGGAGTTCTTAACCTGGGGTTTTAACCCCAGTGGGAATCAGGGAATGTATTTCAGAGTGAACATGAATGGGGGAGGGAGGCAAGTTTATCTTTATTTTCATTAACCTCTAATTGAAATTTAGCGTATTCTCCAATTACTTCAAAACATTATTCTGAGAAGGAGTCTATAGGCTTCACCAAGCTATGGCACAAAATAGGATTAGGAACCCCTGATCTAGGCCAACCTCACTTATTTTACAGATGAATAAATTAAGGCCTAGAAGGTTTAAATGATTTGCACAAGGTCACACAATAACTGTGCTATTATTAAAGTCTAGGTCTCCTCACTACCAATTCCGTTCTCTTTCTATTATCCTACACGGAATTTAAGTAGTGTCTTCCCAATAAGATTATAGTTCATAGAATTTAGGGCTGAGACTGAAGATGGAATCTGACCCTCCCATTTTACAAGTGAGGAAACGAAGGTGACTTGCCCAGTCCATAAGGCTACTGTCTGAGCCTGGATATGAACTTTGGTTTCTTAAATCCAAGTTGAATATTTGGCCTCACACCACGCTGTTGCATATAAAGTAAAGGACAAGAATCATATCTTATTTACTGTGCCTGACACAACGCTGGGCAGACAGTAAGCACTAAATAAGTGATAACTGATAGGAGGGAGGGAAACCCTACAGAGAAGGAAAAAGATAGGAATCAGGCCTTTTGGAATAAGTACTGGTTCCTGAACCAAAAAAGTTCTCTCTTTCCTCCAGATGTCATTTACCTGTTATATCTGGTCGGTCATCAATAAGGAGGTCTCCAGAGACCACAGTCTTATCCCGGGTGAGTACAATTTGCTCCAGAAACTCCTGGCCAAAATGCTTCTCTACCCAGGCATACTAAAAAGTAAGCACGAAGAAGTGAGAGGTCCATTGGCATCCTTATTTCAATTATTGAAGGCAGGTGAGTCCCAGAGCACAGCAAAGCCAATTGTGATAACATTCAGGGGGATACAAATGCTAGAAGCCAGACAGCAATGTTATCATAAGATCAGCTTTTCCGGACACTGGATCCCCAGTCTCTGATTACTATCCCACCAAAGTGCTATCCAGAAGCCAATCACTATACACAGGGTGGGAAGGAATCCCTCCCTTTTCCCTCCATGAAGCTATAAGGAATGTGCCATGGGAATTTCCAAAGCAGGTACCACAGCTGACTCATCCTGAATAACGTGGGTGCTGCTTCAGCCCAGTAGCCAAAATAAAGGTGCTGAGCCAAAACCCAACAACTCAGGGAAAAGGTAAATGTGACTACAACCTCAAGACTCCCTCTGTTCATCTCTCAGAGACCTGAGGTCTATGTCTTACCTTCTCATTAGGACAGTACTTATATTTCTTGATAGGGCTTGTGCAGATGAACACGTCAGTGCTGTAGACAGAAGAAAAGGAGACAAGAGAAGAAAATTTCTAAGCCATCCCATTAGCCATGATTAGCCTTTCCCTGTTGTTGCTGGGAAATGGCTCATTCCTACCTCTCTTTAGCATTTAAAGAACTTCACAGTCTGATTCCAATTTATCCTTCCAGACTAATTTCACATTATTCCTTCTCACAATCTCTACTTTAACTTCCAGCCAAACTGACCTACTCACTCACAGGTATTCCATCTGTACCCCAAGCCTGGTATGCCTTCCCTCATCGTTGCTACCTCTTGAAATTACTAACCCTCTTCAAGGTTCAGTTCAAGTGAACATCTCTTATGATTAAAGCCATTTGGTAAATGAATAGAGCCCACAACAAAGACCCAATCAATATTTTAGCAACTGCAACCCAAGGCTGGGAAAAGAAAAGTACCCAACAAATGTGTGAAGGAACCCTAGATGTTTTCCAAAACTACTGAAATGGAACAAAACTATAACATTAAAAACAAAACTATAACATTAAAATATTCTCCAGATGTGAGATTGGGAAACATCCTCCCAAATGGAATCAATATTACATTTGGTTAGAATTCTTGCCTTGAAAGTTAAATTGATCTGCTAGGAAAACAAAAAGAGTTGTTTCCACTGGGGAAAAGAAGGGAAAATCAAGAGAAGGCAGAGAAGACCCCAGATGCTCTCACAACCCAGTCAGCAGGAGGAAAGCTGAGGTGCAGGGAGGAAGAAAGTACAGGAGGCTGTAGTATGAACAGGAAGATAAACTTACTTTTCTAAGCGGGCCATCTCTTTCACAGCTTCCACAGCCCCTGGTAGAGGTTCAAGTTCAATAAAAAAATTCTTTGACTCCCAAATGCTGATGGCTTTCTCCTGAGAGGGAAAGATAAGCCAGTTATTGCCTAGGACCCCCAGCTCCTCTCCTCTGTTCCCCACACTGTAATATCCTTGAAAATAAGACTCAGTAATCTGAGTCTCCATATGCCAGGAGATCAAGAATATGTGCTAGTATGAGGATGGCATAGACAGGTTCCCAACTCTTCCATTCATAGAAGTCACAATATTTAGGCTTAGGTGTCAGGCTGATATTTATATTGGTTCTGAGCCTCCTTCTAGGATGGAATCATATTCCTGGCAGGGTCCCATGTGGACCAGCCAAGAGGTGGGGTAGAGTGGGACTGACACTGGTGGGTTGGTTACCAAAGACTCCCAAAGGTGCAAAAGGATCAAGGATCCACAGCAATCGAGCAACAGGGTAGGACTAGAACTATGTCTCCAGGGCTCTTTTCACTATCTCAAGTTGATCACTTAATGCCAGACAGAAATGATACACCCCACATTAAACCTGCCAGAACAACGTGCCCCACTGTAATGATAAAGCAGAACCATAAAGCCTAGTCTTACGTACATCCCTCTTGATGTTCTACCCATTCTGGCCTTTCAAATACATCCAGAAAGCCTTTGCTAACTTAGCTCTTCCCCTAACCCTGAGTGGTACAGTGTGAAGAGTATTCGATTTGAAGTAAGAGAGGATGGGTTCAAACGCCAGCTCTGCCACTTCCTATGACCTCTCTTAGGCCTCACGGGTAGCATGAAGGGGAGTGGACTAAATGGCTGTTTATGGTCCCTTCTAGCTAAAAATCCATGATCCTGTGATCATAGGAACCCAACTCTAGTTTCCATCACAATTTTCTTCTTTCCCCTCTATACTACCATTAGCTGTCACCTGTCTCTATGTTACTCGGTAAGGATGAGGTGCATATTCTCAAATCTAAAAGCTAGGTATAAAAAACTTTGTAGTGACAAGCTCCAGATGCCTAGTTCTGGAAGGGGAAAGTTAAAGTCCATAGTTACAAGAATGGTCATAGCCTCTTCTTTGCCTTTTTCTCTTACCCCCAACCCAACTGTGTCCTCAGTGTCCTGGGATACTCATCTTCTCCTATCACCAGGCAAAATCTGTTCTGAGAAAAATATCTGATAAACTCACTCCCTTCTTCAGGATCCCAGTGCTTTAGGAATTTGTAATTGCATCCATGTGGGCATTTCCTCCATGTAAATCTTAATCCCTCTATAACTAGTCTTTTTGAGTTAGGCTGTAACCAAAAAACTCATCCTATAGCCAAAGACATGATAAGCCTCTCTAACTTAGGTAGACTAATTATTGTACAAGAAGTGACTACCATTATTTCCCTCAATTCATTACCTTGCCTATCTATAGGCTCCTTTCCTGCTGCCCACAAACATGACCAGGTTTCCTCTAACATTAAAAAATCTTCACTTGACCCAATCATCTCCTCAAGCTATCATCCTCTATTTCTCTTTCCCTTTTCAGTCAAATTCTTAATAAAAGCTTTCTACCTAGTTGCTTCCACTTTTTCTCCTCTCATCCATTTTTCAACCCCTTATAATGTGGTTTTATCATTCAACTGAAACTGCTTTCTCTAAAGATACAATGTTCTCTCTTCTTTGTGTGTCTCTTACCTATTTTGTTTACATACAGCTGTTTTCTATATAGTTCTCTTTTTTAAAAGTTTTCTTTTTAAAACAATTTTTTGTTAAATTTTGAATTCCAAATTGTCTCCCTCCCTCCCTTCCAACCTCACATTAGAGAAAACCAACATTTGGGGGAAGGAGGTGTGTGTGTGTGTGTGTGTGTGTGACCGTGACCATACAATACGTACTTCAATATGTCAGTTTTTTCTCCGGAGGCGGGTAGCATTTTCCTTCATAGTTGATTTGAATGATCATATTACCCAGAATAGCTTAGTCATTCACAGTTACTCTTTGAACATGTTGCTGTTACTGCATACAAAGTTCTTTTGTTTCTATTTGTTTTACTCTACATTATTGCTTGCAAGGCTTTTCATGTTTTTCTAAAACCAAACTGCTTGTCATTTCTTACAGCACAGGAGTATTCTATTACAATGATATACTACAACTTATTCAGCCATTCCCCAGTTGATGGGCATCCCCTCACTTTCCAGTTCTTTGCCACTACAAAGAAAGCTGCTATAAAAAACTTTAAAATATATAGGTTCTTTTCCTTTTCCCCTGATCACCATGGGAAACAGACTTAATAGTGGTCTGGGTCAGAGGGTATACACAATTTTATAACTCTTTGGCCAGTATTCTTAGCCACTCTTTAGCAAGGGAGGAATATGGGAGCCCTTCCCAGTCAGGAATTTCCTGTTCCTTAACTTTAACTTCTCCTGAATTTTTTAGGAACGGCATTGTGACACAGATCCTGTTCATGACGCCAATTGTAACAGTAAGGTGTTATGGGCTGCAGCACTTAACAATTTGTTTCACAGGTTCGGGTCTGTACCCACAAAGAAACGTTCACATTTTTCCTAGTTTATAAATGATTTAATAATGGCAATGATCATAAACATATATGCATATAAATGTGATTACATATGATTATAACTGCTACAAAGAAACCAAAAGAGCCAGCATACCTTAGGCAACGAACATTATTTGTTAAAAGAAGAGAGACAGAGGTCAAAGGTAACACTATGTTAGAATATAAACTGGTCTGTAAAGATCATTATAACAATAGTGCACAAATTATAAGCAGTAACATATCTCACAAAGCAAAGACAAGCAATGGAAGGTTTGGAACCAGTTTAAAGAAAGCTTTAGACATAGTTTAAAGTTTAAAGAGAAGCAACGGAACCAGTATAAAGAAGGCTTAGCAAAATGTCCAACCAAGCAAAGTAATTCCAAGGTTACTCAAGGATGAAAATGGAAGAGGACTATAGAAAGAAGAAAAATGGAAAAGATTTGCAAAAACTATTTCAACCAACTTTTTGTTCACCAAGGATAGGGAACCACCACACTCAGACCTTGACTTCACAGTTCCTAAGGTGCTTACAAAAGAAGCAAAAATGGCACTAAAAGGACAGAGGAAAGGAAAAGCAGCCAGATTGTATCAGATATGCAGATAGGAGCTTGTTGGTAGGAATACATAATTGTGAGGGCACTGATAAGCAAGGAATCTGAAGGAGAGGAAGATATCAAAGATATAGAACAAACTCAAACCTTGTTAATGCCCCTATAAAGGTGACTAAGAGAACAGCAATAACTATCAACCAATATGCCTACTCTCTTGCCTATACAAAATCTCTATGCAGATCATCTATAAATAAAGCGAGGGCATCTTCAGTGGGGGTATTAGTATAGAATAAGCAGGCTTTCACAAGTCATACTGAACAATGATCCACATATTTACCATTTCACAACTGACTGAAAGATGTAGAGAAGATAAAATCCCACTGTGTTTATTGTTTGTTGATTTCAACAACAAACATCCAACCTGTCAAGACAAAAACACTGTCTGACAGCCTCTTTTACAACGTCTCCCATCATAGAACAAAATCATTCAGGACTCCTTAGAAGATGTAATAACGTTCATTAATCGTCTGATAATAAACATCAGGTGAGGCATAAAACGGCGATAATTGCTCACCAAAAGTATTTGCCAGAGTGATGGGGGAGATCCAGGTAGTAGAAAGATTTCCTGTGGGTAGAAAGGTCCTCCAGATGCTCCTATTTGTGGATGATATTGTATTGATTGCATCAAATCCCAAGATGTTGAAGAGCTTCCTGAAAAAGATCTATAATCACTCAATGGAGTTTGGTATGTTCATCCACATGAGAAAGACCAAATAGAGGTCTATTGCCCACATTTCAATAGGCATCTGAATGGACCCTCTATAGAGTTTGTTCAACAGCACGTTTATCTGAGATAGTACAAATGGATGATGAGGTGGGCCCATGGCTGAAAAGGAAGAGGAAAGAGTGCTGGATTGCTTTGGAGAAACTACAGAGCACTCTTACTGACCCTCAAGATCCCCATAACAGTACACACAACTTCATCTAAAGAACTAAAGATAAGCATCACACAGAGGTCAATGAAAACTTACACAGAGGATCTGAGCAGGGCAGAACATATAACCAACATGAAATTCTGAAGTACAGATGTAAAGGATATAATCAAGAAACACCATGACAGAAAGAGAAGATGGGCTGGTCATGTGGCAAGAGTGAGGAAGGACAGGTAGACAGTCAGAATGTTCCACTGCTACCCCCTGGATGTCAACAGAATACAAGGAAGGCCTCTAGCATGCTGGGGACTCTGTGGTCAAGCTTTGGAGAGGACACAGATTCTAACTCAGGCAGCGGTTGGTTGAGCTGTGAAGATTTGGAGGGGAACTCTCAAATCGATGAGATCAAATACCCATTTGAATATTGAATGAATCTTTATGTTTCAAGAATTCAATATATTGTTTGATTCTGCTTTCTCCTACCCACCTCTCATGAGTCCATGCCATTCATATTCACTATCATGGCTTCTAAATTTTGTATCAATCTACCCTCTCATAATTTTTCCTTCTTGTCTTTATGAAGAAGGGAATGGGGAAAAAGCAAAAAAACAAAATTGATGAACACTAGTACTCTGTAATTGAAATAGTCTGCTCCTACTCCCCTGTCCCTCATTTCTTCACCAAACTTAGACCCCCTTATATTTTCTTTCTCTCTTTTTAAAAACCCCTTTATGATCAAGCATCTAAAGTTGAAGTTTGTTTTACTCGTGACTATTAAACTTCCTCTTATGCCCTGCCTTCCCTTTCCCTGACCCACTTATATTCCTATTGAGTATAATCTTGTTTGTTCACCTAGTTTAGCCCACCTTGCTGGGGAGGAACACTGTGCATGCTACAGCTTCTTGGAGCCACAGGTGAAAGTTGAGTGCCAAGTGGACAACAAAGGTGGATAAGTAGTCCTGAAAAGGGCTCGGCAAGCCCTTACACCAGAGATGCTAGTCTTCCTTGAACATCCATACACCCCTGAGTATAATGTATTTCTATACT